CTCTCCCCATAGCCCTGATCAACCCCACACCCCCGCGCTCTCCCCACAGCCCTGATCAACCCCACTCCCCCGCTCTCTCCCCATAGCCCTGATCAACCCCACTCCCCCGCTCCCTCCCCATAGCCCTGATCAACCCCACTCTCCCGCGCTCTCCCCATAGCCCTGATCAACCCCACACCCCCGCGCTCTCCCCGTAGTCCTGCAAACTTGTCCTCCCCAAGTAATTATCTACCTCTCTTATGATGCTTACAATGAATAGACACCATTTTGATTAATGGTTAAAAATGATGATGTAGGTAAGAAAATGTCAGGATGTTCTGGTTGTTGTAGCTGAAAGATTGTTGAGGATGTTTGTCCATAACAAATTCATGTTTGTGTTAAAGATGTTTTCTATAACAATTCATGTTTCATCACAATTCATGTTGTTCAATAACGATAACAATTCTGCAGATTGTATTGCATTATTCTTTTATGTGAGATAATAGCTTCATGGACGTGAGAAAGGAAAGGTTGTTTATTCTCATCCTGCCTGTGGAAAATCGATGATAAGAGGTGTATGGCCGAACCATACTTTGTTCAGGGTGGGACAGAGGATATCAGGTGCTGTCCCCACAACAGCCATCGTCCATGTGGCGATGTGAAGTGGTGAAGCAAGTGTGCGGTCTTCGAGGTTCAAATCCGTCAGAATTACACTGTTCTGTGAATTTACCAACTGACTTTGATGGACATTTGTCTACGCTATTGTTGCATTTGTGATAAATGAATTAACAAATTTTCCATTTCATATTAAGTAAAGAATTTTCAAAGCACGAGTTGCTGAGTATCTCTTTGACCGTGCCTTCAGCTCCCCTCTCGACTCTCTACCCCCTCCTCGCTCCCTCCCTTCCCTCCCCTCACCGTGACCATTTCCCCCCAATGCTCGGGTCACGACCCAACTGTCCAGCGCTTTGGGACGTCCTCCCGACGTGAAAGGTGCTCTATAAATGGAATCTTGTTGTTGTTGTTGTTGTATGGTTCCCCTGTTCACAGGTCCTTAATTAAAGGAAGGCTATAAAGAATAAACTGGTCTAATTCTGCTCATTGCCTAGAACCCAACACTCCCCACCTTCAAATCTCACCTAAAGACCTTCCTTTTGGATCTTACTTACAGTTCCCTCCCCTCTCCCTCTCCCTCTGGCTCGGGGTCAGACTCCACCACTGGAAAGAGCTCCCGGACACCACCCCCTGAATCCTTGCCTTTGATACGGCGCCTTATCACGTCTTCGAGACGTCTCAAAGCGCTTCACAGAATACACTGTAAAGTGATTTGACTGTGTATTCCGTGGGCAAAACGCGGCAGCTGATTGCGCACAGCAGTGTCCCCACAAACAGCCGTGGACTGAGTGACCAAATTATTATTTTTTATTTGGCTTGTTTTTTTGAAGGGATTGTTACCCCAGAAAAGCGATCCGCCAATCGACTACCAACCGGGTTCCTACTTACTACTAGGTAAACAGAGTAAGGAAACTTACCCAACATTTCGACCTGACTCGTCCGGGAATCGAACCCGGATCCTCTCGCTTGCGAGGCGCGTGCTCTCATGACTCAGCTACAAGACGCCACTCCCGATCGTGGGCGACGTAGAGTGAGGGAAAGCCGAGTCAGTGAGTGAGAGCTAAAGACACAGAACCCATGACCAATTCATCTTTCAGATTGTATAAGGGGAGAAGGTAAAAGGGCAGAAAAGGCAAGAAAATGGGGTGAGAAAGATAAGCGATGCCATAGATTGAGGAAATGCCGGTGGTGTCCGGTGGGGCGAGGCTTTGATGGGTTGAGAGGCCATTGGAGCATCTCGATGATGGGAGACCACGAGAGTTACAGGGAGCCTGGACTTTGTCCTGTTGCCGTGGCAGCGAAGGTTGAGGCCCTCAGTGAACCAGAAACACACGCACATCGAGAGGCTGGAGACCCTGGGGCCGTGTACAGGCAACCTGCCCGTCAATCAGAGATCAGAGAGGTTCATCTCCTGGGCTACAGGGGCTCAGGCCGTAACTGAGGCCCAGTCACTGAGGCCCTGTCACTGAGGCCCAGTCACTGAGGCCCTGTCGCTGAGGCCCTGTCGCTGAGGCCCTGTCGCTGAGGCGAGATTGTTGCCAACTGAGCAATTAGCCCATCACCCCAGTAAACAACAACAACGTGCCTTTATTTTGCTCCCTTCACGTGGGGGTGGCAACCAGGAGCGCTTCTAAAAGCCTAGTTCACTTTTAATAACAATAATCATAATAATAATAATAATCCTTGCATTTGATAAAGGGCCTTATCACGTCTTCAAGACGTCTCAAAGCGCTTCACAGCATCTACTGTAAATCTTGCCATAATTTTGCTAAGACACTTTCTCCAAGGAAACTCCCTTCTCTTTTCGAGCAGTGCCACAGGATCTTTACCGTCCACCTGAACACCTGCGGCTACAGCTCTCCCCCAGCTCCGCACTGGAGTGTCAGTCTAGACCAGGAGCTCAAAGTCCCAGCGTTAGGCTCAAACTCACAATCTTCTCATCAGTGCAAACACATCTCACCCCCCCCACCCTGACTTCCCCCTTCCCCCTCGCCTTCCCGTGGGCTGGTTGCATTTTTCAGCTGCCCCATTAGTAACTGGTAATCATAGAATCATAGATTATTACAGCCCAGGAGGCCACTTGGGCCGTCGTGCCTGTGCCAGCTCAATCAGAACGACCCAATCAGTCCCGCTCCCCCACCCCATATCCATTCAAATGTTTTCATGGACACGGAAATCTCTCCCGGTCCGGAAGAATTAACGTGTGATTTGATCACTGTCCGCCCCTGCCTTCCGCCTCCAACTCTGGACGAATGGCCTTCTCGTTCCGATGCCGTTTGACACAGTGCTTTGGCAGACGGGGGCTGGGCTGCACATTACTCCACACACTGAGTCTAATTCCTCTCCATCTCTGTGGCATTCGGGAGACCTGCTCGGTGAGGAGGGTCCGGTCAGAGTTTAACGACTCAGATAGAATGAAATTATCGACGTATTTTACTGAAACACAGCAGTGCCTTCCAGCAAAACCACTTACTATCAATCTGTAAGTTCAGGTAATGTGAAAATACGTTGATATTTGGGTTTCAATGAAGATCTTGTATTCAGGAACGTCTTACATTTCTGGAGGTCGGGTGGGGTGGGGGTGGGGGGGTGGGAGGTGATTCATGGGGGGGGGAGGGTACAGAAGAAAGGCTCTGATCCTGGCTTTGCTAACCGGAATCAGCCAGTGCCTCTTCCAATGGTTCCTGGGTTGCATTGGTTTGACACGTCTTTGCACCAACCGCACTACACAGAGAGGTCAGTATTGAAGACAGATTAAAGCACATTATTTACGTGTGTGTGTGGGATCGTTCATTCAGGACAGCGTAAAGCTCCGTCTCCACCGTCCGTCCAGCACTCCCAGGTCAGCTCCAGCACGGCTCAGAAGACCACATAGGAGCACCACTTCCTGGAACGGACTCTTTTGTTTCTGCACAGTGCTGAGCGGACGATGGAAAACGGAAGGAACTGGCTGAAAAAATCTTATTGAAGATCATTACAACTACAACAACAACATTTTTCGCTTGTACAGACGCCTTCGTGTATAAGGAGAAACATCTCAAAAAAGTGAGAGCCTGTCAAAAAAACAGCAGAACTTTTAAGTAAGAAAAGAGAAGTGAGTTTCTCCTGACGTCCTGACCAACAATCCTGCAGCTTAGCGTTCAGAGCACTCTCCTCGCAAGCGCGAGGACCTGGGTTCGATCCCCGGCACAGTGTAACCTTGGGCAACATACTGATTCCCCCACTCAACACCGTCCCCACCCCCATCCCCACACAAACACTGGAAGCCCTTCTCTGTTCGTCACTTTCTCGAACCTTATTGAACTTCTGGCAAATTTCATTCTCACTAAACCTGGACTGTACCTATAGGGATCTCACTATCTGGTACCCAAACTTCTCTTTATAACATTACCACATGTGGTTACCCGGCACTCGGATATGGGGCACTCCTCTCTATTACAAGCTGATGATGGCGCTATACAAATGTAATCTTGTTGTTGTTGATGCCCAGGAACTTTGATTAATAATAATAATCCTTGCATTTGATATAGCATCTTATCACATCTTCGAAACGTCTCAAAGCGCTTCACAGAATATACTGTAATTATTATTATTATATTATATTTTGTGGGCGGGTGAAAAGCGGCAGCCAATTGCACACAGCAGCGTCCCACAAACAGGTGTGGATTGAGTGATTATTATTATTATTATTTTTTGAAGGGATTATTACCCCCGGAAAAACGATCAGCCAATCGACGAATAGCCGGAGTCTGACTTACTGTTGGCAGTTGAACATTATTCTAACTTTTTATTAATTCCTGGCAGAATCATTGAAATTGCGAGTCATTGCTGTCATAACCGTTAGGCCGTTGAGAGGAAAATTCTTCTTCCTCTTAAATTTGAAGTCCGGGCTGGGATTGTTCTCCTTAAGAGCAGAGAAGGTTAAGGGCGGAATTAATAGAGTTCAAAATTATGAGGCATTTTAGAGTAGATAGATAGGGAGGATCTGTTTGCACTGTCAGGTGGGTTGGTAACCAGGGGACATAGATTCAAGATAATTGGCAAAAGAACCAGAGGGGAATTTTTTTTACACACCCAGAGAGTTGTTACGGTCTGGAATGCACTACCTGAAAGGCTGGTGGAAACACATTCAATAACAATTCTCAAAAGGGAATTGGATAGGTGCTTGCAGAGGAAATATTTGCAAGGATATGGGGAAAGAGCGAGGGAGTGGGACTGATTGGGTAGCTCTTCCAAAGACCCCGCGCACAAGCACGATGGGCCCAATGGCCTCCTTTTGTGCTGTGATCGTAAGCACATCAGTGAATGGTCTGGGTGTGGACTCAGTGACATGGTACAGGTCTCAGCAGTGAGCGGCAGTGGATTCCGGTCCAGAATTTCTCTACAGCACCCAGACAAGGCACCCGGATCATTACTTTTAATTTATTTCACATATAAATTGATAACGACTGTATTTACAAAACGGTAGTCATACAAATTTAACATCCATTGAATTGATGGTGCTCAACAGAGCAGAAGGCTGGGTCTAAAACACTAGTTAGTGTTAAGTTTAATACGCAGTAATAACCAAAGGAAAATAAGGTTATTCAAAAATATATTTTAAAACTGCCGCTGCAATTCTCTTTCTCGAATCTTTTGGACTAATTTGATTCCAGCTTTTATTTCCTCTCTTGGTATTTTCAGCCAGCCGTCAGTCAGTGACTCAGTCTCTGCTCAGAACAGCTGGACACGGAGCTGATGGCTGGGAAGAGCTCAGCAGTGGATTCTTACACAATCACTCCCATCAGATTTACTCGGCGGTTCTGGTATCGTTTTGAGAGATCACCTTCGATCTGCGGAGACAAAAGAGGGACGATTCGTTTGCACGTCGTTTGCTCTGACAGTCGACGGGATGGTGCAAAGGTGCCAGCCCGGCTCCGTTGGCAGCGCTCTCATCTCTGAGTGAGAAGATCGTGGGGGATAATAATAATCTGTAATAATAATCCTGGCATTTGATGCGGCGCCTTATCACGTCTTCGAGACGTCTCAAAGCGCTTCACAGGATACACTGTAAAGTGAATTGACTGTGTATTTTGTGGGCGAAATGCGGGAGCCAATTGTGCACAGCAGCGTCCCCACAAACAGCGGTGGATTGAGTGACCAAATTATTTTTTATATGTTAAGAGCCCTACTTCCACAGTTTGAGCTCAGTGTAGGCAGATGTTCCAGGATAGTGCTGGGGGAGTACTGCATCATCAGTGCTGCCCCCATTTTTCGATGGGCCATTAAACCGAGGCCCCATCTGCCTGTTCAGGTGGACGTCAAAGCTTCTGCGGCACGATTCAAACAGAGCAGGGAATACCTCCTGGTGTTCTGGCCAACAATCCTCCAGATAAAATCGGTCATTCGTTTCACGGCTGTTTGTGGGAACATAGTGCTGTGAGCAAAGTGACTACTGTGCTCACCAATAAGTAGTCACTACACTAGCAGTACACGAGTTCAGCGCTTTAACACTTTGATATTTCAAGGCACAGAATCGAGGATTACTATTTTTAAGCGAATGACAATTTTCACAGTGCGCAGGTGGTTCGGGACATACGTGCAAAGCGACCGCCAGAAAGCTGGTAGGAGAACTAGATGGACGTTGGTGCTTTTCCTCGTCTAGCATTCCTTATTTTCTTAATTTATCCGCAGGGTTATTGACCGTGCAGGCCATCGGGAGAGCTCCGTTCTCGTTTGCAAAGGATTGTGAGATCTTCAGCAGCGCGTGAACGGGCAGATAGGGTCTCAGTTTACGTCTCGTTATAACTACGGTCCCCTCTGACAGTACATCGCTTGGCCAGTGCTGGGTTAGTTAGTGTCAGCGCAGCATTAACATGACACCTATTGATGGAGAAGAGGCATCGCAAGATCTATTTATCAGATCTCTCAAGACCAAATGCTGATAGCGATATCAATGCAAGCTGTGCGGGTTTGAGCTGGTTAGACTCCAGCAGTTACCCCCCAACGCACACTCTGGGATCCCCCCAAGCCTGTGCCTAATACTCTCCAGAATTAGGTAAGCAGGGGCCGTCCCTCCCAGGGAGAGAGAGAGAGAGCGCATTCCATTCCAGCAATCTACCTCCGGGATTCCCTCGTGTGGGTGGGAGGCAGGGAATTCTCAGTTAGTTTGAATACTCTTAAGCACAGGGATAGGTTTCCCACACGTGTCAGACGTGTTCACCTGAACCCTAATCCTTTCCCGTCTACAAAAAGAAAAAAAATACCGATCACAATCACATTTTCCGGTGTTGTTATTGGGCCGAACACCAGGTCCTCACAGATGACTGACCTGCTTCCGAAACTCTCTGGTTCTCTGGATCAGGAGGTCGAGCTTGGGCTCCAGTGCAGCTTGTTCCTCCAGCGCCTCCTGTCTCTTCTGGGCTACGAGGTGCTGTTTTGCGACGATCATGTCAGCCTGCGTCAGTTTCTGCTGCAGCATCTCAGTCACGCGGTCCACGTACCTGCGGCAGCAAGTCATCAACAACCATCTTCACTACCACTGTCACACGGCAGGCACAGCCCCGAGGCACGTTTAAACTCCTCGGCCCACAACAGCCCTTCATCCCTTCAAAAAAATCTCTTTAAAGAAAATAAAAGAATCTGATCACTCGATCCACAACTGTTTGCGGGCGAATCGTGGCAGCCAATTGCGCACAGCAGCGTCCAACAAACAGTCGTGGATTGAGTGATCAAATTATTATAATTCTTGTGCGTGGAGGGATTATTACCCCTGGAAAAGCGATCAACCGGGTTCCTGCTTACTGCTGAGTAAACACAGGCGCGCGGAGTAAGGAACCTTGCCCAGCACTTTGCCCTGACCGGGGAATCCAACTCGGGTCCTCTTGTTTGCGAGGCGAGCGCTCTGACCACCGAGCTGCAGGACTCCACGATGTTCTTACAGAAAGCACTGCAGCCACAGTAACTGTCAAAGCTCCAGCACTCTCCAGGGAAGGGGAGGGAGGGTGGGGGGGGGGGTTCACACCTGGGGGAAGCCTGGATTGTAAATAAATATTGCATCTTCACGTTAGTCAGTCGCTCGATCAGGTCGTTGACACCGGCTACCATTGAAGCCACCTGGGCCACGTCCTGACTCTGGAGAATGAGCGGGGCCGTTTGGAACTGGTTGATGGAGAGGATTCCGGCCTCCTCCTTCATCTCAGCGATGCGCTGGGTCAGGAAGGCCTGTAACTGGACAGAGGAAGCAAACGTTGGCCATCGTCAGTAGTGCCGGCTTTCGGGCGTGACGTTAAACCGGAGCCCAGTCTGCCCACTCGGGCGCACGGTAAAGACCTCGTGGTGCTAGTCAAACAGAAAAATAGAAGGGAGTTTTTCCCTTCCCGGTGCCCTGGCCAACAATCCCCCCCCCACCCAAAAACAATCCCGGGCTGGGAATGTTTACGCGCGAGTGCACGTGTGTGTGTGTGTGTGTGTGTGTGTGTGCGGAGTGTGTGTAGGGTATGTGTATGGGATGGGTGTGCACGGGTGGGGTGTGTGCGTGGGGGGGGTTTGTGTGTGGGGGGGAGTGGGGGGGTCTGTGGGGTAGGGGCAGCGAATGACAGTAGCAGTCTCAGCTGTGATGTCTGCTCTTACAGTTGAATAAGAGGCCAATACTGGCTGTTGAGGTTCACACAGACAGTGGCCACATGTGTGAGGCGCCAGCAATGCCCTTAAGCCGTATCCCAGCACAAGCTCGCAGCCCCGGCCAATGGCCTTTCCACCGTCTGCCTCGTATCAACAGGTTCTCAAGCACGAACCCAGTGAGCGAAGAATCAGAACCATTAGATGACAAAACAATGATTCCAGTTAGTTAAGAACAAATACCTCCATGAGCTCATTGATAAACTGGCATCTATTTTCTGGATTTTCTAAGACTGTTAAAGCATCGGATCCTCTCGCCACTCCATCCACACCTAGAGGTAAAAGACAAGCGAGAGCCCTGAGTTCAATTCCAGGCAGAGGGCGAAACCTTGGGCAAGTTTCCTTACTCCACACAGAGCCTAATAATAATCCCTCCAAAACCAAAAACAATAATAAATTGGTCATTTTCAATCTACGACTGTTTGTGGGACATTGCTGTGCGCAATTGGCTGCCGCGTTCGCCCACAAATATACAGTCAATTCACTTTACAGTGTGTTCTGTGAAGCGCTTTGGGACGTCCTCTCGACGTGAAAAGCGCTATATCAAATGCAAGGATTATTATTATTATTAAGACAATTGTGAATGTAGTTGAGAACTCCATCTTGGGTTCACCTGGAGAATGGTGGAATATAGCAGAGTGCGTTGCGTATTGGTTAGAGCACTCGCCTCGCAAGCCGGAGGACACAGGTTGGGCAAGTTTCCTTACTCCACACGCCTCTGTTTACCAAACAGTGAGTAGGAACTTGGGTGGATTGTTGAATGGCTTGGACCGTAGGGCAAATGCCATTGCGCCCACTGTTTGCACCTGTCACGCTGTGAAACCAATACGTGCCCAACTCCTTGTTTGAGGGCACAGTATTCCTCAATAAGTCATCTGCTGTGCGATAAAGCTGCCCATTGCTCTCATTATGTAAACACAATAAGTGCACATTACAGCACTCTGAACCAAGGCACGTGCAGAATTGTTCTACAATCAATCACATCCTCCTGCCGTCCGGACCAGAGATCAATCCCAGAAATCAGTAGCTTTGGTTTTCTCAATATCGACACAAAGTTTTGTTAATAAAAAAGAGACACCGTTAGTCCCAACCCACGGGGGCTAATTTGCGCCGTGTGTAAATGTGTGGGAAGTGCAGTCACGTGTGCGCTGTGCTCCTTCTTGTGGGCAAATAACCTGTGACTTGTGAGCCGCAGTCAGAAGGCCTTTCAGCCAGTGACGATTGCATGAGCTGCACTGCCACCAAGTGTTAGCGAACTATAAGTACTTCGGGAGAGTTACCTACAACAACTTACATTTATCCCCACAGCCGGGCAGCGTCCCGGGGCGCTTATTATTACGATTATATTATGACCCAATCGAGGGGTTTGAGGTATGTACGGAATACCAGGTCCCAGTAGTCATTTAAGGCTGAAATCTTAATACCGTTGCTGACACTTGATACAGCGCCTTTCACTTAGAGAGACCGTCTAAAAGCGCTTCACAGGATATTACTGTAAAGTGACGTGGCTGCGAATGGCCCACAAACGGCCATGAAACAAAGGGCCGATTTTTTTGTTTGGAGGATTGTCGTTCGGGACGAACTCCCGTCTCCTTTCGAACAACGCCGTGGGATCTCTAACGCCAACTTAAAATGTAGAAATTACAGATCCCCAGGAAGGAGTCGCAGGCTGGAATCTAACTGAGGAGATCAGATATCATTCAGAAACATATTCTGAAGGCTTTAGCACTTCGTGCCCGATTTCCGGGGGGGGGGGATAAATCACTTTTTAAAAAAAAATTAATAATGATTTGGTCACTCAATCCCCGGCTATTTGTGGGGACGCTGCTGTGCGCAAAATACAGTCACTACACTGTCTCGAAGACGTGATAAGGCGCTGTATCAAGTGTAAGGATTATTATCATTATTATTACCTTCTACCGCAGACTCCAATGCTTCGATTTCAACAGGAGCCGCTGTGTCACCAACCCAGTCGATGGCATCAGCGCTGCCCTGCTGCCCATTCAGCTGCGGAGAAGGAAATAAAGAACAATCACACACACCCGGCAGGAAACCACAAACATTACACCCACAAACTACACCGTCAATTCACTTATACCCTGAGAAGCGCTTTGAGACGTCTCGAAGTCGTGATCAGGCACCGTATCAAATGCAAGAGCTATTGTTATTAACATTCTGCAAAAAAATTTTCAAACTTTTCTTTTTATAAATGTTTTCGCCCACAAAATACACAGTCACTCCACTTTACAGTATGTTCTGGGAAGTACTTTGGGACGTCTCGAAGGCTTGATCAGGCGCTCTATCAAATGCAAGGATTATTATTAATATTTTATTGCCTGCTTTGGACTTGTTGATCCTGTCTTCTTAAAATTCAGCAACAGGTCAGCCTGACTCAGTTGGGAACTCTCTTACTCTGTTTCAGAAGGTTCTGAGTTCAAACCCAGAGACAGGACTTTGATTTTAGGCTCAAACTCCAACTCAGTGAGAAGGGAATTTGTCCTGACCCGACAATCCCCCAAACAAAAAACTGGTCATTCATTTCATGGCTGTTTGTGGGTCTTACACTCCACTCCCCCGAATAAAATTGACTGAAGAGTAAAATTCACTTTGTGGCTATTTGTGGGCTACTGTTATGGGCAAAATTGGCTGCGGCATTCGCCTACAAGAAACACAGCAACCAAAGTTTACAGTAAACAAAAGGCAAAATACTGCAGATGCTGGGGATCTGAAATAAACACAGAAGTCACTGGGAACACCCAGCAGGTCAGGAGCTTTAGCAAATGTAAAGATGATTGATTAATTCATCATTGTTATTGCACTTGCAACATCAACGGACTCCAAGCGGCTTTGCACAACGCATCACTGTCTGTGGCCATACCTCAGTGCTCTCCTCCACGGTGATATCCCAGTCATTGCCCTCAGACTGGCCTGCAGTCTCAACACTGATGCCATAATCTCCCCAGTCGATCTGCAAACACAAGTCGCAAGACTGACCCTCCGAAGCCTCATCAAAACGGCATCGAAATTCTAACCCAGAGAGAAACAAATTCACTGAATCTATAGCCTGAAAATCAAGAGACCACAGAAACATAAATCCAACTGTGGCCCCCTCTCCCCCTCTCCGCTCACCTTCAGTAATAAGCTACCGGAGTTGCCCTGTTCATATGGACGTTAAGGATCCCATGGTACTATGCTAAAGGAGAAAGAAGTTCCTTCCAGTGCTCTGGGTAACGATCCCACAGGTGGAATTTGTCAACACTGCTGTGTGTAAACCGGCTGCCACATTCACCTACAGACACATAGCTCTGGCTCTGCCGGGAGGATATTTCGCTGCTGGAGAGCCCCGAGGGAGGGGAGAGCGAGTTTCACTCACCGTCTCCTCAGAGGCGTCCGGTGCGGGCTCGGAGCTCTCCGCGTCGCCCGGCCGTTCAATCGCCGTCGGCTTCTGGCCAGTTTTCCACTCGTAGACGGTCGTGTTGCCTTTTAACTGAACGTGTTTTAACAGCGGCAGCATCGGCTCCGACACCCTGCACCCACAGCACACGGGGAAATACTCAGCAGCTCCATACACGCAGTAACAATCCTTGCATTTGACAGCACTTCACAGAATATCCTGAGTATTTGGAGCTACTGCTCAGTGACAGAAACGATACACAGACAAGAGGGGTGCAATCATCGTGAAGCCCTTTGAATCGTCACGACGACGTGATTGGGTGCTTTACGGGATTCATGTATTATTATCATGATCGCAGCATAATAATAAACCAGTCAGCCCTAAACCCCATTATCTGTTACAATACGGTTGGTTCTGTACCGCTGGCGAATTGATTCCCGGTTCAGGGCGAAACATTGGGCGAGTTTCCTTACTCCACGCTCCTGTTTTCCTAGCAGCAAGTAGGAATCGGGTTGTTAAAGTCGATTGGAGGTTCACTTTCCGAGGTAACGATCACTCAATCCACGATGTTTGCGGGACAACAGGTTACCGTGTTTCACCCACAAAATACGCATTCAATCCATTTTACAGTATATTCTGCGAAGCACTTTGAGATGTCCCAACATCGTGATAAGACGCGATATCAAATGCAAGGATAACTATTATTATTATATGTTATATATTCCTGCCCCCAGCTTACCTGCCGCACACAAACTCCACGCAGGCCTCGTAAAGCTTGAAAGAACAGGTCAACCCTTTGACTCGCTCGGCGATCTCATTCAGGATGGAGGGCAGGTCCGTGCACAAGGCTAACAGCTCTTGTTGGATGTCCTCACCCTGTTCAGCCCCACAAAAGGTTGGGAGAGCCTCAGTTATTGACAATGAGAACAAATCAGCCCCACAACCGGCCTCACAACCAGCCCCACAACCAGCTCACAACCAGCCTCACAACCAAGTCACAACCAGCCCCACAACCAGCCCCACAACCAAATCACAACCAGCCTGCGAAGCACAATTATGAGGCACAGATAGTTGTGCAAAGAAGCTCCGAGGGCTTGTGGAGGAGGCTACTCCTTCATAATCTTTAACCCTGTCTCGTAGATCAGTTTGTCGAAAGGGAAGCATTGGCAATGCAACACTTGGAATCCAAGAAAGTTACGGTGCATGAGAAGGCCATTTGGCCCATCAGGTCTGCGCCACGTCTCAGAGCAAGCTGTATATTCCATCCCACTGCCTTGCCCTACCTCCACCCCCTTAAGTCTTCACCTTGAATATACTTGTCTATCTTTTGTGTTGAAACCCATATTGCACTCGGGCATTCCATACCCCAACAACTCTCTGAGCCACAGTTTTGCACTGTTCTCACCCCACTGCCCCCTCCACTGCTCTACAATTAGATACAACACTGGTTGGAGACACAGAAAAGCTCCCACTACAGTGTCCCACCCAGTGCTCACAGGTCAACCGGAAACACAGTTAGATACGAGCTGAAACTCGTTCTACAATCTTCAATAACATTCTTTAGCCCCATCGTTCGAAGGGCGTCTCACTACCCCCAGACCCCTCCGGCCAGGGTGAGAATGCCAATTTAATGCTAATTTGTTTCAAATTCTGGGCTGGAAGCAACTGTCGGGGATGTTGTCCTTCGGACGCCCCAAACCAAACACTACCAACAGACCCACCGCTATTCCAAACTGCTTGCAGGAGGCAAGGTATTTCTCCCTCATGTTGGCTGCATTGTTCACATAGTCCTCTTCCTTACGGCTGTACTCCTGCTGAAGGTGTTGGCATTTGCTGATTTGCTTTTTCAGTGATGGAACCTCATAGCTGACATTCTGCACCAGTAAACTGGCGAGTTCCACTGTAAAACAAGTTGGGACGAATGAACATAAGAACATAATAGGAGGAGGAGTAGGCCATTCAGCCCCTCGAGCGTGCGGAAGGGCGAGGCGGAGGGATTCAAATGAGAGAGAATTCCCCTTTTCCGTGTTTGAGTAGATTGAAGTGCCACAGTATTCATTATGTGCCGCTAGAGGGAGCGCTAATTACATAACACAGTGACGTCCTGGAGTGAGCCTTGGCCATTACTCCTCCACTCCCCCTCGGTCGTGTAGTGACTGCGGATTCGTAGGCAAACACAGCAACAAACGTACACGCAGCGATGTCCTACAAACAGCCTTGGCTTACTAGTCATCAATTTTTACCCGGAGGATTGTTGACCAGAACAACGGGAGGAATTCTCTCCCACCCTATCCAATAGTGTAACATCCGCACAAACAAAGGTAAAGGCCTAAGGTTATGGGTTAGGGGTTGCCAACCTGGGATCCCGTATGGGAATGTCGCTTCCGAAATCCCGGGATACCAAGCACTAATTATGGTGCAGGACAATACTAATGTTGAAAGAGCAGAAGGCAAAAAATAAATGAATAAATTAAGCTACAATATGCTACAGGGTGTGAAGGGCTCTATATAAATGCAAGTCAGTGTTGTAAGTACTGCTTAGGTGGTTAGGCTTTGAATTTAATGGTCTGTGAATTGTAGTAAGACGGTAAAGCTGAGGGAGGTCATTTTTATGGCATTAGCAACAAATGAGTTGTAGTCAGAGGCTGTGTGACAGATCTGGTTTAACGCTGTGAATAGACAGGGATGTGGGAGGAATGTGTAGGTGATGTTCTTGCAGTTTGGGAGGAACACGAGAGGCACTCTCAGGGGAGCAATAGCCAGAAGCAATATTGATAAATGTAAAGAAAAGAAATAAAAATATATCTAAAACAAAATAGACCAAATGATATGGAAAATGGAATATTAAACAGAAGAAAATGCAGGAAATTACCATTCACAAAAGAAGCCTAAAGCACTTCCCCCTATATAAAACCTTGAATTTGATACAGCGCCTTATCACGTCTTCGAGACGTCTCAAAGTGCTTCATAGAATATACTGTAAAGTGAATTGACTGTATATTTTGTGGGCGAAACGTCGCAGCCAATTGCGCACAGCAGCGTCCCACAGACAGTCGCGGATTGAGTGACCAAATTATTATTAATTATTATTTTGAAGGGAGTATTATCCCCAGAAAAGCAATCTGTCAATTGACTAGCAATCAGGTTATAATAATAATAATAATAATCCTTGCATTTGATATAGCGCTTTTCACGTCAGGAGGACGTCCTAAAGCGCTTCACAGAACATACTGTAAAGTGAAGTGACTGTATATTTGTGGGTGAACGCGGCAGCCAATTGCGCACAGCAATGTCCCACAAACAGTCGTAGATTGAAAATGATTCATTTATTATTGTTTTTGGTTTTGGAGGGATTATTATTAGGCTCTGTGTGGAGTAAGGAAACTTGCCCAAGGTTTCGCCCTCTGCCTGGAATTGAACTCAGGTCTCTTACTTGCAAAGCGAGTGCTCTAACCACTGAGCTACAGGACTCCGTTCCTACTTACTGCTAGATAAACAGAGATGTGTGGAGTAAGGAAACTTACTTAACCTTTCGCCCTGCCCGGGAATCGAACCCGGGTCTCTCGCTTGAGAGGCGAGTGCTCTAACCACACTAATATTACCTGTGCAGCATGGTTCAGGGTTCACTCATTCCCTGTTCCAGTTACTTACCCAGATAAACATTGTCTTTTTCATAGAGAGCCACAATTTCTTGCCAGTCCTACAGAAAGGCACAGGAATAATGAGTGCTTAAAAAAAACCTATTTAAAATTCTGAATTTAGATCCCCAGTGTTCGAGTGGGCAAAGTTACTTCACAACGCAATATAGTAATAATACTTCACAACACAATGCTACACAGATGCAGTCTCAGGTTTGATTCCCGGGACAACAACTTGCATTTACCAGTCGAGGGGAGGCAGCGGGTAGTGGATTGGGGAGTAAGCAGGTTGGAGAGATAAGGAGGTGCTGAGGCATGAAGGGATTTGAAAACAAGTGAGGATCTTGAAATTGCCATCCTGAGTTGGCTGATCTCAACCCAAGCAACAACAATTTGCAATCAGACAGCTCCTCTCACTCAGGAAAATGTCTGAAATGGCTTTATAAAGACAGAGTGGGAGCCCAAACTCGGGGGGAGATAAATTGGGTTGGTGACAGGTGGCCAAAGATGGCAGTCAAAGACTCAAGTTTTGGGGGAAGGTTTGAAAGCCAAGAGAGAGAGGGAGCGAGGCGGAAGGATTTCGGAAGAGTGGCACTGCAGTTGAAAGCTCGCTCAGAGGGTGGGTTGGGTGAGCAACCCGACAGGTTGAAATAGTTGTACCAGAGGTGAGGAGACATTAGCAGGAGCTGAGCACGAGTCAGTTATATCAACATTAAGATGGAGAAAGGCGAGGCTCATCCAGGACTAAACCAAAGGCAGCACAAGTACGGCTACAATCAGCTTCCATCCTGGCACTTGACATATATAGATTTTATTATTATATACATACATAGCATCTTATCACATCGTCTAAACATCTCAAAGTGTTTTGCTGCAAAGTGTAGTGACCGTGTATTTGTAGGCACACATTAATTTTTAATTTTTTAGTTGATTTAATTTTTATGTGCAGGGTTGTTGGCCAGAAACGCCGGAGACACTCTCTCCCCTTTCAAATAGTGTCACGGGATCTTTAACATCTACCCAAACAAGCCGATGGGACCTTGGTTTAATGTCTCAGCTGAAGGGCAGCACCTGTCTCAGTGCAGTCCTTTCCCCAGCACCGCGGTGTGGGTCAGCCTGAACTGTGAGCTCAAAGTCTCCTCGAACCTTCTGACTCAAGAGGCACGAGTACTCCCTACTGGAACGGTGCCCAGTGATAGCGGTGGAGTCTGAAACCAGAGGAGAATCATTTACCTTCATTCGCTGAGACGAATATCGACCGAAAATATTCTTTGTGGTCGCCTCTGTACCTTTGAGAATTTCAATGATTCTGAGACAATGGAAATAATTGATATCTAAAACGTATAAAGAGAAGAGAGTTAAAGATAATGATACTAACCTTTGCCTTATCACGCAGTTGAGACGTCTCAAAGCGCTTCACAGAATATATTGTGAAGTGTAGTGACTTGTGTATTTTGTGGGCGAAACGCGGCAGCCGGTTGCCCAAGGCAGAGTCCCCCACACACACACAGCCGTGGATTGAGTGACCAATTTTTTCTTTTCTTTCGAAGGATTATTATTCCCGGAAAGGGATCCGAATGGAAAAAACAACGGATGTTTTTTTTCAAATTTGAATTGTTCAAAGTAAAATGGCATTGAAAAGTAATGAAAGTTAAACACTTGCACTGAAAATGACGAAATACTCGTTAAGTACAATTATCATCATTCTTACACATGGTTCAGTTACACTTTTTAAAAAAAAATTGAGCATTTCCATGGAGTTTATATAAAGTGCTCCAGATTTGTGCCTCGACTTTCAGGAAGGAATCAACCTGTTGGACTATTTTATTAGATCATCATCAGATCACTTAATCTCATTTCCCTGCATTCTCTCCTTTATAATGCAACACAAAGTTACATTTATATGGAGACTTCCAAATCGGATTATAATAATAATCCTTCCGTTTGATTTAGCGCCTTATGTTGTTGAGACGTCTCAAAATGCTTCACAGAATATAGATTGTAAAGTGAATTGACTGTGTTTTGTGGGCGAAACATGGCAGCCGATTGCGCATCGCAGCGTCCCCACAAACAGTGTTGTGAGTCATTTTTTTTTGAACTCCTAGTTACACACGTTTAGTCCAAAACCTCAACATCTTCTCATTTTACCATCTCCTCCATATTCCCAGAGGGGAAGGACAAGGTGGATGATCAGACAGTCAAAGAGACGGGACTTAAGAGACAGGTGTGTGCAGGAGGGAGTGGGGGGGGAAGGGGAACTCAAGACACCGAGGTATCACACCAACTCCATAAGGTGGGCTGAACACCCATGCAGGTTGATGTGGTTGCTACCTGGGATGAGAAGGTACTGACAGGACCCAAGCAGCAGAGCCTCGGTCTTGTCGATATTAAGCTGCAGAAAACTGGAACTCATCCAAGGCTCGTCAACAACAACAACAGCACAGCACCCTTCCTGCGGGCGGCATCTCGGGAGCGCTGAGCAGTAGCGGAGCTTGAGGTTGACTCAGGAAGAGGAGGGGAGGTGGCTGTGGCACGTTCAAAGAGAAAGGTCTTCAGGCGCGATCGGAAGGCACGCAAAGAGGGGCAAAGCAGAGGAATTGTGGTGGCGTTCCAACGTTTCAGGCGTGGCTGAAAGCACAGGCGCCGACGATGGAGCAGAGGGGACGAGGGTACAGAAGGCAATCGACAGTACACCATCGGTCAGACCGGCAGTGGTCCTGGAATGCTGGAAGCTACAATAACCAACAGAGGCAATTAGTGACCACGGTTAGTGCGGAAGAGGACCAAGTAATAAGGTACTGACAGGATCCCGACAGGAGCTGCTTGATCTCCTGGTTCTCCGGCATGTCCTGGATGGCACTGTTAATCTTCTCCCGGATACTCAGCACCGAGTTTTGCCACTTCAGGCTGCAGTGGCGTCTGTCCACCAGCCAGGCTGTGACCGAGAGGCGGAGAGAGCACAAACCCCTTTGGGTGTCATTTTCTGACCCTTTTTTTTAAAAAAAATCTAAAATAGTATTGGTTGACTGACGGTGGGGAACCGGTGACCTGGAAGTCGGGCATTTTTTTTTTCCCGGATCACCAGGACTCCGCCTTCGCTATAGATGTGTGTAAAAAAATTAACTCTTCCCATTTACTATTTCTTTTTGGTTTCCCCCCAAAGTTCCTCTTAACCAGGAACTGATTTTCTCTGCCAAATATTTGTCCGAAAGTTTACCCCCAAAACTCTTAAGACACCTGTTTATATATAACACCCCCCCCACCCCCTCACACACCCCCCCCACCCCGCACGCCCCCCCACCCCCTCGCACGCCCCCCCCACCCCCTCACACACCCCCCCCACCCCGCACGCCCCCCCCACCCCTCGCACGCCCCCCCACCCCCTCGCACGCCCCCCCCACCCCCTCGCACGCCCCCCCACCCCCTCGCACGCCCCCCCCACCCCCTCGCACGCCCCCCCCACCCCCTCGCACGCCCCCCCCACCCCCTCGCACGCCCCCCCCAGCCCCTCACACACCCCCCCCACCCCCGCATACACCCCCCCACCCCCTCGCACACCCCCCCCACCCCCTCGCACACCCCCCCACCCCCTCGCACACCCCCCCCACCCACTCGCACGCCCCCCACCCCCTCACACGCCCCCCCCACCCCCTCGCACACCCCCCCCACCCCCTCATACACCCCCCCACCCCTTCACACGCCCCCCCACCCCCTCGCACACCCCCCCCACCCCCTCATACACCCCCCACCCCCCCAGTGAGCACCGGTACAGGCTGACCAGTCCTATACTGACCGGTCGGTGTGCGGGTTTACCTATCAGTTTGCTGGTCTGTATATCAATTGGGAATCTCTGATGATCCTGTGAGGAGGAAGAAAAGTAATGGGATGTAGAACCGTCGGCTTTATTCACATCGCCGCCAGCGTCGTGACAGCACAGACTTTAATAACAACAATAACATATTAATAACAATAATAATATAATATTAATATAATAATATATTAATAACAATAATAATATATTAATATAATAATGACAATAATAATATAATAATAATCCCTGTGTTTGATAGAGCTCTATTTCACATCTTCTCGACGTCTCAAAGCGCCGCACGGGGCTGTGGGGGGGGGCTGTGGGGAGGGGGCTGTGGGGGGGGCTGTGGGGGGGGGGCTGTGGGGGGGGCTGGGGGGGGCTGTGGGGGGGGGGCTGTGGGGGGGGGGCTGTGGGGGGGGGGCTGTGGGGGGGGGGCTGTGGGGGGGGGGCTGTGGGGGGGGCTGTGGGGGGGGGCTGTGGGGGGGGGCTGTGGGGGGGGGCTGTGGGGGGGGCTGTGGGGGGGGGCTGTGGGGGGGGGCTGTGGGGGGGGCTGTGGGTGGGGGGCTGTGGGTGGGGGCTGTGGGGGGGGGCTGTGGGGTGGGGGACTGGGGCTGTGGGGGGGGCTGTGGGTGGGCTGTGGGGTGGGGCTGTGGGGGAGGTTGAGGTGGGGGGGTGTGGGGGGGGAGCCCCGGGGGGGGGGTTGAGGTGGGGGGGGGGTGGGGGGGTACCGGTGTGGGGGAGCCCCGGGGGGGGGTTGAGGTGGGGGGGGAGTGGGGGGTACCGGTGTGGGGGAGCCCCGGGGGGGGTGTGGGGGGGGACTGACTGACCTGCATCCTGCGGCCTCCGCTGTGGGTTGTCCACGTGTACTGACCGGCGACCAATCACAGAGCGCCTCACTGTCCGCCCCGCCCCCCGCTCCCAGATTGACCAATAGGAGGAACGCGGGTCATGGCGATGGCTCGCCTGCCATTGGGCGATCCGCTGCCCCGCAGCAGCCAATAGCAGAGCGAGGGGCGGGAGCACCGCCCACCCTGTGGCCAATCACAGCGCAGGGCAGGTGTGCAGGTGCGTCACTGCGGTCACGTGCTCTAAACAACAACAACAACAATTTGTTGTTTTAATTGGATTTGATTCCATTTTTAATTAATTTTTGGTTTTAATTTTAATCGGTCGCTTGAACCCCCCCCACACCCCCCCCCCCCCCGGCTGTTTGTGGGGCTTCGGCCCCCCCCTCCCCCCCCCCACCCTACCACCACCCCCCCCCCGTGAAACGCACAGTCACTACACTTTAGAGCGTGTCCCGCGAAGCACTTTGAGACGTCTCGACGCCGGGTGATGAGGCGCCGGGTCACACGCCAGGATTATTATTATTGTTGTTGTTGTTGTTGTTGTTGTTGTTTGCACACAAAACACAGTCACTACACTTCGCAGTAAATAAATGCAAGGATTATTATTATTATTATTTAATCCTCGCATTTGACCCATCGCCTTATCACGTCTTCGAGACGTCTCAAAGCGCTTTGCGGACTCTACCGTGAAGTGTAGTGACTGCATATTTCGTGGGCGAAAGACGGCAGCCAATGGCGCACAGCAGTGAGTGTCCCACAATTGAAGTGACCGAATTATTATTGTTTTTTCTTTCCTTAAGGGATTAACGAGGAGACTGATTTGAACACAGCAACGTTTGCCATTAACAGCCGTGAGCGAGTTATTTGGGGGGGGTGGGGGGGGGGGGCGGGGTGGGGTGGTGGGGGGGGGGGGGGGTGGGGTGGCCAGGGCATGGGTGTGGAGGGGGGGGGAAACTTTGCCTTTCGAACAGCACCACGGGATCTTTAACGTTCACCTGAGCCGGCGGGCGGACTGGGCCTCGGTCATATTATAACAGTTGACTCTTGTCAGGGATCTGCGATAGACATCGATATCACTGCAATCAACAACAACAAAATTACATTTGTATAGTGGCCTTTGCGTTCCAAGGCGCTGGACAGACAGAGTTACGGACCCGAGCTGGGGGTCGGTCTTGTGGTCTTGCTCCCCACCTACCTCTCCGACCTCCTAACCCCTTACCACTCTGCTCGTTCCCTCCGCTCTGCTTCACGTCCCCCGCCTCGCTCGCCCCACTATCGGGGGGCGGACCTTCCGCTACTTTGCCCCCACCCGCTGGAACTCCATCCCGCAGTCCCTCCGTCTCGTCCCCTCCCTCGCCCCCTCCCTCGCCACCTTCAAGACCCACTTCAAGACCCTCCTCAAGACCGTGCTTTTGATCTCCCTGCTTCCCGCCCTCCTTGTCCTCCCCACCCCTCCCCCAGCTCGGGTCCGAAACACTCACTGTCCAGCCCCTTGGGACGTCCTCCCGACATGAAAGGCGCTATACACGTGTAATTTTGTTGATGTTGTTGTTGTGGTGGTGGTGGGCCGTCCCCAGCAGGGAGCAGTGGTGTACCTGGCAGCTTTTTTAGCCTTTGAGTGGATGCTGTTCTGTGTCTATGGCGTAGGAAGCCACAGCCTTTCATGTAGTAACAAGCGTTGTGCAGTATACGAGCTTCCAGCGTTGGGCTTCAGGCTACTGTGTTTGACCAGAGGGATAATGCTGCCATCTGTACTGTATGTTCCAACCCTCCCCGTCCCGACTCCAGGTCCTGTCTGCCTTTCTCGGTACACGTTAAAGATCCGATGGCCACGTGCGCTTAGAGCCAGTGTCAAAGTGAAAAAAACCTCCTCCACTTGTTTATCCCCGGATCAGTCCCGGGACCAATTCTACAGTACACTTAAATGTTGCATTTTCCCAACTCCTGAGATCTCTATTGTGGAAACAGCCTCCGGTCAAAGTCACTAAAGACATTCTGAACACCTGTGATCAGGACTCCCTTTGCCTCCGTGTCCTCCTCGACCTCTCTGCCTCCTCCGACACTGTTGACCACTCCATCCTTATACACCGCCTCTCCTCCTTACTTAAACTTCGCTGACCTGCTCTTGTCTGGATCAAATCCTATCTCCCTCACCGTCTCCACTTTGTTGCCTCTAACGGTTTCTCCTCCAGCCCCCGCACTGGCGTCCCCCGGGGCTCTGTCCCTGTCTCCTCTTTAATGTATACATGCTCCCCCCTCGGTGACATCATCCGCAGACATGGGGTCAACTTCCACATGTGTGCGGATGACATCCAACTCTATCTTTCTGCCCCCACCCTCAACTCCAGACCCCTGCTGTCCTGACAGACTGCCTGTCTGCCCTCACCCTCAGCCCCACACCCACTGCTGTCCTGACAGACTGTCTGTTGGACATCAAGTCCTGGATGAGAGCAAATTTCCTACAGTTGAATGTGAACAAGACTGAGGTTTTCCTGATTGGCTCACGGCAGCGCCTCAGCACCTCAGGCTCTGGGAGCATCACCCTCCATGGTGGACATTACAACTCACCGCCAGTCAGGAACCGAGGTGTCTTGTTCGACCCTCAACTGTCTTTTGTTCCCCACATCCAAGCCATGACCCGCTCTGCCTTCCCTCACCTCCGTAACATTGCCCGACTCCACCACTACTTCACCCCTCAGATAATCCAGAACTCTGCAGCCCATGTCCTCTCGCGCAGCAAACTCCGCAACCCCATCTCCCCCATTCTCGCCTGACTCCATTGGCTCCCTATCCTTCAGAGGATCCATTTCAAGATCCTGGTCCTCACCTACGAAGTCCTCCATGGCCTCGCCCCACCCTACCTCTGCAACCTCCTAATACCCCTACCAACCCGCCCGCACCTTCCGCTCAGCTGTTAGCGTTGATCGGTGGATCAACTTTGTGGGCGAAACGCGGCTGCCAATTGCGCACAACATGTCCCACAAATAGTCGTGGATTGAAGTGATCAAATTATTATTATTTTATTTTTTTTAAATTGAAGGGATTATTACCCCCGGAAAAGCAGACAAACCAAGGGCTGGAATATATATATATATGTATATGTGTGTGTTTGTAGTAAACCTTGCATTTGATATAGCGCCTCATCACATTGTTGCAACGTCTCAAAGCGCTTCACAGAATATATTATTAAGTGGATTGACTGTGTATTTTGTGGGTGAAATGCGGCAGCCGATGCACACAGCGGCGTCCCACGCACAGTTTGGATTGAGTGATCAATTCTTTTGAGGGTCTATTCTCCCCGGAAAGCAATCTGCCAATCAACTCGGTTCCTACTGCCACATAAACAGAGGAGCGAGGAAACTACGCACAGCCCGGGAATCGAACCCAGGTCCTCTCGCCTGCGAGGCGAGTGCTCCAACTCATACAACGTGGTGGTGCGTGTAGTGCAGAGCGCCTGTTGTGACTGGATGGGATGATACTGCCCTTTATCACAGCCTTCCACGCGCACGTACCTGAGAGCATGAGAGAGCCTGGAATGAGGAAAGGCTATTCGGCCAATTGAGACCCCTTGAGCTTCCATAGTCCACGTAAGGTAATCCAAGCATGTCCAGCTCGGACCTGACTCTCAAGGTTACGAATGAAGGTATTTGACATTGTTTACCACGGATTTGGGTGGTGTGTTTCCTCAGAGCCAGTTCAGGCCCCTCCTGCTCACCTCAGCTCCTTCTCTTGCTCTGGTGATCTTTTACTCGTTTTAAAATCGACCTCAGAACAGTGAACCGCCAAGTCTCAGGGTTCAGCTGTATGAGCTGTGCGTATGGTTGGTGCGCATGTGTGTGTGGGGGTCAGGCTCAAACGGTAGCGCTCTCACCTCTGAGTTAGGAGGTTCCAATGTCGAGAATTGGAACCCATATTGGAGGTGCCGTCGTTCGGAGGGACATGTTTAACCCCGTCTGCCTGCCCAGATGGACATTAAGGATCCCACTGCGTTATTCGACAAGGGGAAAGGAGTTTGTCCTGGTGTCCAACCCGACAATCCCCGTGTAAAATTGGTCACTCACTCCAAGGCTGTTTGCGGGGCGTTACTGTACGCAAATTGCTGCTGCGTTTTGCCCACAAAGTACGCACAACCACTTTGCAGCATATTGAGTCCTGTAGGGTGGTGGTTAGAGCACTAGCAAGCGAGAGGACCTGGGTTGTAATAATCCCTTCCTCCCCCACCCCCCCAAAGTAAACAAAAATAATCCCGGCTGTTTGTGTGTGGGGACGCTGCCATGTGTAATTGACTGCCGCGTTTCGCCAGCAAAGTATAAACAGTCAATTCACTGTACAGTCTATCCCGTGAAGCGCTTTGAGAATGTCTCGAGGACGTGATCGGGCGCTGTCTCAAATGCCCGGATTATTATCATGATCATATATTATTATCTCGGGCGAAGAGCTTTGCGACCTCTCAACGAAATGGTACGGGCGCGATATGAAGCGCAAGGGTCATTATCGTGCAGGTCCAGGCTCCCGCGACAGACGGCTGCGCGAGGTAAAACCCCCGATGGGGCCGGTTAGCGGGGCACGTGATGTGAGACTGGGAGCTGCTCCGGGCTCCCGCCTGCCACCATTCAGTGCACTTTTCTTTGATGTTTCAAGGTCATCACTGTTTGCCGGCCGCACCCTCGTGCACTGGGCCAAGCGCTCAAAGTCTACCCTCCGCAGCAGGTGTTCAGTAAACAGCCCGAGGGTCGGAGACTCAGAGAGCTTTACAACGCAGATGTGGGCCGCAACTGCCTGGAACTCCAGTGTTTTCTACTCCCGTCGCCTCTCTCGGCACAGCCCTCAAATGATACGGAGCACAAATAGGCCACTCGTCCCTTCAACAACAACAACAACAACAACAAAGTTACATTTATATGAGGGCCCCTTCACGTCGGGAAGACATCCCTTCGCGTCAGAGACGCTGCTTTTCCTGCAAAGGACAATTCCCGTTCTAATCCCAATCTCCCGCTTTCCTCTCTCTCCATAAAATTTA